AAGCAATGGTCGTGAACTCTGCTTGGAAGCCCACATGATCATTACAAGTAAAAATTCTCAAGTTAACAGAAGAAGGTTGACTCATGTTAGCTCCCCTTCCTGTATTCACTCATTTGACTCAGATACAATCTCTATAGATAAAGGGCTTCATCTCCCCACCCACTGCCCCAGGCCAAGACCATATCCAGGGTAAATCCAAACAGATAAAAGACATTCCTCTATCTCCTAGAACAGAGGTCTCCAAACTTGGCAACGTTGAGACTTGTGGACTTCAATACCCAGAATTCCTCAGCCTTTACTCTACTGTTCCCCATAGACACCTACGGTTGTGAAAATTGGACCTTTAATACAACAAGACAAGAAAATTGACTTGTATATGAGCTGTAGTTCTAGAGAAGCTCCTGCATATTCCTTGGGGAGCAAACACTAACCAACAAGCAAGTACTGGAGCACATAACACCAGACATGTCACTAGAAGGCAAAATCATGAAACCGCATCTCACTTACCGTAGTCATGTCATGCGGGGAATTCACTGGAAAAAGCCATTAGGCTTGGAAGAGTTAGTGACAAAAGGAAACCAGGCAATCAAAGAATATGGTGGCTGGACACCATTAAGGCTGACACCAGCCATAGCATAGAAAAACTCAAGTAGTGCAATATCGGAAGATGTGGAAAGATATGGCCCATAGAATTGGCAAGCGTTAGATACCACTAAATGGACATCATCATGATGTTCCCAGATGGGGTTGGGAATTGCTGAGGATGGGTATCCCACAGGCCAGCTAGTCCGATCTCCTCAATAGATGCTGCCCTGCCTGGTTCAGGAATTCTGGGAGTTGAAGTCCACAAGCCAAAAAAGGGCCACCTCTGCTCTAAATGTTGGCCCGCACCTATCTTCTTTCTACCATTTGAGGGGGGTCGGGGAGAGGCAACCTGTTTTCAATGCCAGACCTCTTCCTTTTATGCATGCTCTTTCCTCTCCTGCTGGCATGTTGACTCTGTTCCCCTTACTTGGTTTCTGCAACCACCTGGGCTGACTTTTGCACATATCATCCAATTGCTTCACTTACATTAAAGAAAATGATTGTCAAAGACACCCCACCGCCTCTCCCTCTTTCTTAAGTTCACAGTCTGTGGTGTAGGACTGAAGGACAGAGCCTGTGCCCAGTTTTTCTTAAGCTGGTAATTGTGGGGGAGCCCTCCAAGGGCACCCAAAGATAGATTATTTATTTTATTTTTTATTTTGTCAAGCAATTATAAGATAACAGGTATAAGTATAAACATAGTTATGAATACATGAAATGGATACGAGAAAAATAAAAAGAAACAATAGGACAGGGATGGTAGGCACATTGGTGCGCTTATGCACACCCGCTACAGACCTCTTAGGAAAGGGCGCGGGGTTGCCATCTGGCCGTTTTTCTGGCCAAATTCGAGAAATCTGGCCGTATAGAAATCTGTTTGGCCGTGAAAAAAATCATGTCTCCGGCCAAATATATTTGGCCGGAAATTTGGCCGTATGAAAGTTGCTTGGCCGTGAAATCGAAATTTTGGCTGAATACCGGTTTTCAATACAATATATTCGCATGAAAATGACTGTCAGATCATCTGAAAACCTCTGAAAAATGACGCGATACACAGGCCGAAGCCTTCTGACTGTGAACAGCGCTGCGTAATATAAGCGGATGTTAACCCGGATGTAAACATCTCAGTATTGGATTGTTTTCTTGCCAGCCGTCGCGCGGCGTCACAGAAAATCCCGGATGTGCGAGAGAATACGCCTGTGGTACATGTAAGCTAGCTAAACGCATTGTGCGTGTACTCTGCATGCATGGTAAGGCAGCTATGTGTAATGTGTATGTGCACAGCGCATGTATATTAACAAGCGGAAGCCTTACGTTAGCGTTAGCCTAGTCTCTAAACCATATTTTACCCTGAACAAGTGAACAACTCTACATCTACGGAAGATGGCAGCGACGGGAAAATGGAAAGGGAAATATGACAGTGGTAGAAAATATAATAAATTGTGGGAACAAGTTCTTGTGGCTCACAAAATCTAGCGATGGAAGTGAACACGGATTATGCAAGCTTTGCAAGACACAAATCGCACCAAAGCTTTCTCGCCTTTCGGACCACGAAAAAACGAAGGGGCATACAGAAAGAGTAAGTGCTAGTTCTCATTGTGCAGCATTACCCTTTTTTCAGAAACCGAAAATAGACAAGGATATTGAGATAACCAAACGCATAGAAATTGAGCTTGCTGAGACTATAGCGTGTCACTGCGCAACGTCCACTGTTGATCACCTGGCAGAATTTATGAAGAATGGGAAAGGTAGCAAACTCGCAAACCTTCAAGTTCATCGCACTAAGTGCAGTAAACTTATCTCTAAAGTAATTTCCCCTGCTTTGAAGGAGACTCAACAGCATGATGTCGAGAACAAAAAATTTGCAATCCTCATTGACGAATCAACGGACATCGCTATTGACAAGCATCTGTGTATTGTCATCAGGTATTTCAACCAGTCAAAGTTACATATTGTGACTGAATTTGTTGCTCTAAAGCCCGTTGTTGGGGCTACAGGTAGAGAACTCTTTGAAATACTCAGGAACACACTAGATGAACTCGGTCTGAAGCTGGTTGACTGCATCGGGTTCGGCAGCGATGGTGCATCTGCGATGATTGGGGAGCACAACTCCGTGTGGTCTCGAATTCGTGAGCAATCGCCTCATTGTCAGCTGAACCGATGCATATGTCATTCGGTTGCACTTTGTATCGAGAAGGCATTTGATAAGCTTCCATCAAACCTGGGGTATCTCCCAGCAGAAATTCCCAAGCAAGAGTATCCTCTGGAGAGAAGCATTCTCAGATCTGTTCAAAGTGATGGATGCTACAGATGAGCGAAAGGGAACACCTCTTCCTTTCCAGAAGCTGTCTGCAACGCAATGGTTGGTGAGGGGCAAAGTCATCTACAACATTCTTATCAACTGAGAAGAGCTGAAGGCTTACTTTTTGGCAGTCGTCCCCACTGCCGATGCCTCCTGCCGGTACAAGGCCAGGGAGATCCTGGGGATGTTGTCAGATCCCCTGAACGCCTTGTACTTTCACTTTGTGTCCCCCATCGTCGCCGAATTTGAGCGGGTCAACTCTTTTTTTCAAGCAACTGATGCTGACCCAGAGGAGATGGTGCAAGAATTGCTTGTGCACTACAAAAGTTTGAAAGGTTGTATCATCGACAGCGAAGGGAAACCACTTGACCTGGACAGAGTTGATTATGGGGCCAAATTTACGAGTGAGCTTCGTTCCTTCCTGAATAGCCAAAATCGTTCCCCTGACGCACTCAACAAGGCAACGGAGATGAAGACACGCTGTGAAAGCCTCCTGAGTGAAGCCCTCAAGCAGCTCGAGAAGCGCCTTCTGGCATCGATGGAAGTCTTCAAAGGTCTAAGAAGCTTGTCACCGAGTAAAGTGTTGAGCCAGACCACCAGGGTTCCATTTCAAGATCTGCCAATGCCTAATCTCCAAAGTGCAAATGAAGCTGTGATTGAGGAGCAGTATCGGAGAATTCTGCACGTGCATTGGGCAGAGAAGTCAGTGTTTGATGGAAGAATTCCAAGTGACACAGCAACCTTCTAGGCAGGGGTGTTGCAGTACAAGTCCAAAGCGGGTGAGCAGCCGTTTGAACAGTTGGCAATGTATGTGCTGTCCTGCCTTGCAACACTGAGTAACACCGTTGTAGAACGCATTTTCTCTGCAGTAACACATGTGAAGACGAAGGCTAGAAATCGCTTACAGACAGAAATGTTGGACGCCATCATCAGAATTTGTACACATCTACAATTTCAGGGAAAGTGCTGTACGGATTTCAGCGCAACAGAACGCATGCTTCAGCTGTTCACATCAGAGAACATGTACGGAAACCAAGCCGGTCAACCAGATCATCCTGAGGATATTGACGAGGATATCATGAACATTCTATATTAGAGCACTTCATTCATGACTTTGCTCCTATTTCAATCATACTTGACAGACTTGATCTTATAGTTTGTTTGTTTGTTTTTTTACCTTTTTCTTTCTTCACATTGCTACATTAGAAGTACTTTTTGTTTTCATGTAATTATTGGGATAATTCCTCTCTTTTTGAAAAGATGGTTATTGAGCATTCAGTTTTCATAAGGATTCTATATACAATTGCTATTTTTGTGTCATTTTATTTGTTTAGTGATTATATTTTTTCAATGGGGGAGAATCCCCCTAAAAACCCTCATGCCCTAGCTCCCCCCTCCTCAGGATCGCTGCATTTGGCCCTAGCTTTCCAAAAGTTAGGTAGTAGCGGTTATTTGAAGTGAGCTGCCTAGCCTGGATGTGAGTAAAGAAACGCAGAAATTCCCATGACATCACGTCACATTGTCGAATAAAGACTATTTTTTATTATTTGATTATTTAAAAACATTTTAAAAAACAAAAAACAATATATCCTCATGTTATATTGCATAAAAAAATTTGGCCGGAAAATTTGGCTGAGAGAAAATAATTTGGCCGAATTTGGCCGTATTTTGACTAGAGTTTGGCCGCAGAGCCAAGCTGCGATCTGGCAACCCTGGAAAGGGGTGAGGTCAATAGTCTAAGGTTAAAGTTTTTGGGGTTTGGGGAAGAACCCGATTAAAAGACAAACCAATCAAGCAGGCAATCAGATCAGAGAGAGGCCGTGGGGTCGATTCATGGGAAGGAAAACCGATAGACTGGGGTCCCACGCTTTATCGTGGCTTGTTTAACCGCGACTGATTGAACGGCTGGCAGACGGCACCACGCGACCTGCTTTGCTTCCTCACGCGCTCCTGTAAAATGTCAGCCTTCATTCTCCATAAATCCCGAATAGATAAGGCGGGAGGGGGGGGGGGGGGGGGGGGGGGGGGGGGGGGGAGAAGTGGCTTGCAGTTTAAAAAGAAGCGGAGGAGCGCCCTACCTCTTTCAGGTGACCTCTACCCCAATAAAAGAAAACCCGCGACAGAGCGGGAAACTCCCAGCTCCTACATGAAGGTACTACGCCGACCATCCCGGCCGGGAGACGAAGAGAAGCGGGCGCCGGGGAGGAGCTAGGAGGGAAGGGGCCGCACAATGGGCGGGAAAGCGACCAGGTCTCCGCCTCTCTTCGCGTTTTCCTCTCGTGCAGCTCGACGGCCGGCGCTTCTTTGCGACCGATCCCCTGGCAGGTAGGGCGTGCGCTTGCTTTCTCCTCTTCTCATGTGGATACGACTCGGTTTTTCCCTCGTTCCCTCCCAGTTTTTTTTTTCCTGGGCCAGGCTTGGCTTTGTAAGAAGCGCGCTCCCTCTCCCCAGCCGCGCTTTTAGGGTAGGTTGCGATCCTGAAGGTGCGCCGAGGGAGCCGATCCCAACGGAACATAGAGGAACTTTGCCCGGGACCAAGTGCAACGAGTTACTTCGAGGAGAAAAGAAAAAAAAAGAAAAAAGAAATCCCGGAGACTTGCGGTGTGTTGTTTTTTTTCTCCTTCCGATATTGAAAAGTAGCTTGCATGCTTGTTTTCCCGATTTAGGAGAATCCCTTAACTCAGAGGAAATTCCCCCCCCCCCCCAAATTTACCTTCTCTTTATGTCTAGGATCTACAATCGGTTTACTTCTAGGGCTGGGGAATACTGCGAACCGACGGGAGGTATTAATGTTCGCTTTTGTAAACGTTGTTTTATTAACAAGAGGAATAAAACTGTATAGCGAGTATGTTTTACGCCTGCTTCATACAAGCCTCCCTCGAAGTCTGTTTTCCTGCCCGAATTTTCCTCGAAAGGAAAAAAAAGAAAAGAAAAATTGGCGGCGCCCAGAACTCCGAAGTGGCTGGGAAGTTGTTTCCATCTCGTTTTCTTTTCCCTCTCCGCCCTTGGGCTGGAGGATGGGCGGGGGGAGGAGGAGGAGGAGCGCTATTTATCACCATTGGGACAGGCGGCTCTTTCGAAAGAGCGAGCGAGGCCTTGGCCCGGAAAGTGGTGGTGGCTGGGCGTTTATCCACCTCGCATGTGGAGAAAATACAAGTCGGGTGGAAAACCACAGTCTTACTAACCTTCGGCAGAATGGTGCGAAAGGGACGCAGAATTGAGTTTTTACAACTGGGAGGAAGCAAGGTTTCAGCCCACTCGGTTGTAGCGGGTAGCTGCTCTCTTTCCTGTTTAAATCAAAAAAAGAACTTCCCCAGCACTCTTTGAGAGGATAACAAATGCAATCCAGGGACCAAAGTGAACTTTCTCAGATGCACAAAAGGGCGCTTTGCATTATCGAGGGTAATTGTGAAGGAGCCAATTGCACAAGGGCAGAAGCAAAATACAAACTGTGTAATTGTGGGATGCTCATCTGGAGTTTCAATAGATGGGGAGAGTAAGTTCATAAAGCAGCGGTGCAAACTTCCTGTTGTTGGTAATCTGACTATCATCTCTGGCAGGTTTCAGAGCTTCATTTTTAGACCACTACATCCTTTGTAAGCCAGTGGCTGCAGCCACACACTTAAGGAGCTCAGTTTTGTTTTTTTTCCCCCCTGATGACTGCAACACTGATCCATGACGGGCCTCCTGGCTTAAAGTGAGAAGTTCAACCTTGAAACTTGTCAAAGTTGGTATCCAGATGATCAACAATAAGAACAGTGAAAGTGTTGATGTGGTATGTTGGTGCTTACTAGACATGGCATAATTGGCTCCAGATAATTATAGGGAAGAGGCTAGCTAGGGCAACCCTGCTTAGGGTCAAGACTATAGTAGGAGAGGTAGAGTTAATGGAATGGCAGTAGGCATGTACATGTGGGCACGCTCACACCTGACTGACAAAGCCCTGGTGCTGAGAACACTAGCAGAGAGAAAAAAGTTGCAATGTTGGGTGCCGGGCTTGAGCCAGCAGCATGGATCCAGCTGTGGCCTCAGTGACTCAGTCTTCCTGCCTTTAGTGGAAAAGAATGCTGGTGTTGAGTAATCCTTTCAGCCATTGTCTATCCACTGCAGGATGAAGACCTTGCCCGCAGGCTTCCAACCAATACAGTTCTGGGCTTTCTTTTTGCCTGTTGGGCCCGCAATATCTGCTGATGTAATCAATCTATCTTGTTTTAGGTCTCTCATAGACTCTTTTTATCAAGTGGAATCTATTCTAGGACTGCCTTGGTCCACCTGCCATCAGTTCTTCTTGCTATGTGACCAGCCCACTTCCATTTCAGTTGATGTTATCCTATATTTTCATTTGTTCTCTAATCCATGTGCAGGTATTTCTATCTTGTTTTGTAATGCTGACCATGTATCTTTCCATGGCTTATTGTGCCATCCGTAGCTTTTATATCGATTGTGAGGTTAGTGTGCAGGGTTTACCGGCATATGCTAGAGCAGGTACCACACAGTGATCGAAAACTCTTCATGTTTTTATTTGGTAATAAAGTATTATAAAATACATAAAGTACTTTATAACCAAATAAAAACATATTAAAAAATCCTTTTCTCTTCATGCATAGGGGGAGGTTGTTCTTGAAAATTATGCTTAGCTTGCCAAATGCTGGCCAACCACAATTAACCCAACATTCAATTTCCCTTATTGTATCATCTTCATTGAGATCAATTGGCCAAGGAATATATATATATATAGTGGTTTATAAACTACATCTACCCTGTTTCTCCAACAATACGGCCTCCCCCAATAGGAAGTCCCAGCATGTTTTATAGGCATGAAATGAAATTAAGCCCCTCCCCCCAAATTAAGGCCTATATTAAAACATGCGAAATGGGAATGGTGGGGGGGCTTGCCGTTAGGAAGTACTTTTGTTGCACACCTGGATATGGTGCTGCCTTCGTTGACCCCGATACAAAGTGCCCCAACAACGCCAAGGTCAACATCCAAGCCGTTGCCGCCCGCCCGAAGATGCAAGGGGGGGGATTAAGTCACCCCCGAAAAGATGGCCTAGCCATTTTTTCGGGGCTCAAAAAAAAATAAGACCAGGCCTTATTATATGAGAAACATGGTAGTTCTTCTCCAGATATAAAAATATTCAGTGAATTTATTAAACATAACCTGAATAACGGTATAAACATGAAGAGGTATGGAAACAAAGTGGGGATATTCTGAAATGTTTAAAGATGGAATGTGGGGAGAGAGGGACATTCCATTAATAGTAATAGCTCCAGGAAAAGCCTTTTTTCTGGATCTGCCTCTAGAGAAGCAGTGCTGCATTTCAAGGAGAGAGGCATAAAACTGAAATGGAAGCAGGCTGCTGAACCATCAAGACAATGAGCCAAAAAAAAAAAGCTTTATAGATTTGACATGTGCTGTAGCATACAGAAGTATAAAATTCAAGTCCGAATCTTTAGGAAGGGATTATTATGGCGACTTTTTTATTCCCACTTGTTTGAGAACAGCAACATCAAAATGTCTCCTTAAATTAAATTCTTCCGAGGGAGGGAGACCCAAGATCTCTTCCTCTGTGGAAGGACTGTGAGTTCCATGCAGTTTTATTTCCCCAAGCAGAATCCCTGCTGTTATGTCACTTCACACTTGTGTTCCATCACTGGCACTTTGTGCTGTGTATTTGGCAGGCAGGACAATGTTGAAGGACTTCTACATATCTACAGCATATCTCTTGATGTGCCCTTTAAAAGCTTGCTTAATGTAATTTAATGTAATTTTAGGATTAAAATTTGGGCGTGAAAAATCAAATTATGTCTTTAGTTTCCATTTGTGTTCTTTTATTAGCTTCTAATCCTTTCTATATGTGCTTACTGTGAGATGGCTGTTATTGGTTTGCCACTCAGAATTGCCTTGAACTGCCAGATAGGTGACACATAATTTTGATTATAATAGAATTTTATGGGGATATGCTCAGAATGCAACTGAGGTCCATGATGAGATGGCCGGCATACAAATATAATAACTAAATCTGTCAACTGGCTATACCTAATATTGTTTGCTTTTAAAATCTAGTGGGTACTCCTAGCTTAAGGCAACTTTATTCTGTTGCAAGAATATTTAAATTAAAGCAGCTACTGAATAGAAAGAGTAGATGATTCAGGAATCGCCTGAAGTCTCCTCCTTTAATCTAAAATTATGTCTGCAAATACTAGGTTGGTTGATGATAATCACAAGTGCTACATTTTGTCCAAAATCTAACTTGTCCAATAAACAACAGCAAAGATCTATAGCAGAGTAATAACTGGTTGGATTTATACTAAAATAGTTTTCCAAGTTCAGCAGTCAAGAAATGTTCTAAACTAACATGTTCTGTTTCTGTTAGTCCTTAATGAGTCCAAGCTCCTATTTGTTTACAAAAATAAAGCAAAATTGTCAGCAGTCCTTCTTTTGACCCAACTCTATATATAAAAAGGAAGGTTTTACACCTGGTTAAACAACATATCATCTTCCATGTTCAAACGCTAACAAAATATGTTGCAGCTGTATACCATATCTTTTTTTGAAGCTCTTCTGTTCAAATGGATCCTTTTTAAAATTTGTAATAGAAGATTACAGGTGGCTGAAGTATTAAGAGTTTCTTTTGTTACAAATAATTGGTTTTCTTAATTTGGGTTTCTTTTCTGACAAGAGATTGGCCAATTTTACACTTGATTTCTGCAAGATTTGTGTTATGATCAATGCCATCTTTTAAAAGTTTTTTCCTTTACCCTAGCATTCTTTAAGATAATCCCAGATGGAACTTGAAACCATCATCACATCTAGTAGCTCATTTAAATGGCTCCATCCATATTCAGCCTGAAAACTGATTAAACACAGACGCTACAGCTTGAAAATCAGCTACTCTTAATTTGGAATTTCCCCCCATCTTGCCGGTTGAACAGCTTTAAAGAAGCCTGCAGTTTATACGTTTTTCATGGCTTTTGGATTAGCCTAATTCAGTTTATTATGTTGTTGATTTGTTAAGTTTATTTCCCATTATCTCTCTATTTCCATTCTTAAAACAGCAGTGCTGCGAGTTAAGCTGAGTGGAAAGAGAACAACTGGCCCAAAGGTGGGTTTGTGTGGCTAAGGATACACTTGATTTGGTCTTCCTGATCCTAGACCAACTACCTGGTATATCACTCTGGCTACTTGTCTTTCTTCTCTATTTGTATTATTTTTCTTTTTTTTCCTCTGATGTTCCTATCGGTATTTATGATTTCTTCTCTAGAACTAATCATATACCTACCGATTTATATATATACATACACATACACACACCCCCATATATATGTATGTTAAGTTTTCGCGGGTATCTATATGTATGGGTATTCAGCTTTGTTCGGGTATTTTCCCACGTCATTATAGTTGTGCTTTTAAAGTTGTAGCAACGTTTCGGTAGAATCTCATCTGCCATCATCAGGCTTCTGTATGGTGTTCGTCTGTGACGAAACGGCTGTGAAAGTCTGACTCACAGACGAACACCATACAGAAGCCTGATGATGGCAGATGAGATTCTGCTGAAACATTGCTACAACTTTAAAAGCACAACTATAATGATATGGGA